ACAGAGATCTCTTAGTACAAAATGTTAAAGTATACGTGAACACAGTATAATTAAAGCACATAGTAATCAAGGTAATATGATTTCTGTACCCTAATTACATTTATTTCAAATACAAACAAAACATTATGTACCCTTTTTTGGACATTTATTTGGTGGTCACATGAAGCCTTCTTACAGTAATGCTCCCTCTTCCACATATTGACGGGCACAGCTGTTTACAAATCAGGCAAGCAGGTTTTTTTTTGTGTCATCACACAAAGCAGGACAATGTAATTTTGACAGTGAGGCTTCTGCTCAAAGTTGCTTTCAGTCATCAAAGCAGGGCTGGGCAGGAGCATAGCAGGTAAACAGACTATGGAAGTGTGTGTCGGCACAGCAAACTGGAATGCCTGGTACACACCATATCAGTTGTGTTCTCATTAAACCCAGCGGGCTGAACAAAAAAAGAAAACTGAAGAGCTCAGGAGGAGCTTACTGTGCTAACTGATGTTAGTACAGCGATCCCCCCACTGAGCTATTGTGTTCTGATGGGGACTGTCCCCCCCCCCCCCCCCCCCACCAAAACATACTGGTCAGCGCTTGCAGCCACTGGCTGCCAGCACTGATCGGATGTTGGTTTTGCAGCATGCCTGTTCGACAGAACCCAGTCGTTTGGCCAGCTTTTGTCGGACAGGCTGGTGTGCACACAGGACGAATTTTGGCTGGCTTCTATTGAACTGGCTGGTGCCGGATGATATTTGGCCCATGTGTACAGGGCTTAACTCTAAGAAGTAAGAAGTGATCTGTAAACTGACAAGGCCAGCACAGATCTGCTTCTATGTTTGAAAATATAACAGACATTTAGAAACATTTTAGATACATTTTAGAGTAACATACATTTTAGGCTAGGTTCACACTGAACTTCAGTTTTCAAGTGCAATTCAAGGAGCACCTGTGGTGTGATTCAGCTGCGGTTCAGCTTGGATAGCAATGCATTTGTCCTGTGAATTTAATACAGTTGTGATTTTGGAATAATGTCCTAGATCGCTCTCTATCTCTCTCCAAACCACCTTAGCAACACACAGGAGACCTGGCAAAAATGCACTGGAATAGCATGTGATGTGAACAGATAAGAATTTCACATGCGATTTACATGCAACTCTATGGACCTGAAGAATCAGATCGCACCACTCCATGACCCTTTTTCAAAATGCACTGCGTGTGTACTGTAAAGATGTGATCAACCTCCATAGGCATTTGTTTTTCTTTTCTACAGTATATCATGTGAATCAATGCGATCTAAACAGCATCCAAAACCACATCAGTGTGAACCAGGGCTAAAAGTAGTTATAACCCTTCAATATACCCAGTGAAGTGACTGGCCTCAGATGACACACAGAGATAAAACAAATTCTCCTACATAAGTTGTACCTGTTTATCTGCCATAATATCTCCTTTACAGCCTCCCAAAGCACACACTTTACATAGCATTTCTAAGCTCCAGAAGGCAGGGATCTGATGTCACACAGCACAGCATAGAGCGCATAGCTTAGTGTAATCTGAGACCTAAATGGACAAAATGGAAACACACCCATCTACAGTCTCATAAGAAAACATGAACAGCAAAGGCTGTCAGTCACCTGTTGTGTGCTGGAGTAAGGGTGGAACTGTCTCCCAGGATTCTGGGGTATCAGCATAAGATGTCAGAAGTGACTCAGCAAAGGAATGAGAGAGCAGACAGAAATCACAGTAGGTGCTTTGGGACAAAGCTATAATGCACTATGAAAGGTCATGCATTGTTCTTTTTTCCTTTCAGAGGATTACAACTACTTTAAGGTAAATGCAAAATTCTACATTGTTCATTTGCAGGAGACCAGATCTCACATCTCCACATCAATTAGGCTCACAGCACACTCATCTAGAGTTCACTTCAGGGAATCTACATCAAGTGACAAACTTATAAAGGTCTGCTCAAAGCAGAAGCAGATAAAGTAAGAAAAAGAGGCAATGATGGAGACTCAAATAAATATTTTGCAAACGGAAAGGGAGAAGCAGCAGCCTTGGCAAAGTTCAAAGCCTTTGAGAAAGCAATGATTCAGACTGTTTCATTCCAGCATTCCATCCCATCAACTTTAAGCTAGATCCCTTGTGCTGATTTTTTTGTGTTTTTTATTTTGGGAAGTTGGCTCAATTCCTGAAACAATTTATAACTATTTAAGATTAGCAAGTAAAATAGCATATAGTGTTCATCTCAAGCATGACTGCCTCTGCTAGTGTTGTCTTCCCCCCCCCCCCCCCCCCCCCCCCCCAGACTTTGCTTTTGCTGTGTCTTATCTCTGTTTTTTTTTTTTTTTTTTTTCCCCCCATCCCCTACATCTCTTCTAACATTCTGCTAAATCTTTGTTTCAGTACTGCTTAGACCTGAAGAAGGGGACATTTCCCGAAAGCTTGTCCTCAAAATTGTATGTTAGTGCAAATAAAAAAAGTATCACGGACAGTACTCAATTGTTCCTGTCGCACTAATACGGCTACAATCACCTCAAGCAAAGTGCTCATCCAAAAAATTTTTGCCCTTCATCAAAAAATTATAAAAAATCTCTGTCTCAAACAGGGGCGGACTGACAACTCATGGGACCCCCGGGAAATAGGGGATCATGGGGCCCCTGTGTTCTCGCCCACACTCAAATCACACCCAAAAAAAGCCTATGAAAGGTACCAGGGACATCTCATGGGGCCCCCTACTGACCCCCGGGCCCTCGGGCAGCACCCGAGTTCCCCAATGGTCAGTCCGCCCCTGGTCCCAAATGTTTTCCCCCAAATACCTTATTATATATACAAGTGATTGCTGTAATTTAAAAAGTGTGCTACTGTGCCACAAATAATAAATGGAAAAACAATAGTGCATCACCTGAATAACCAATTATATCAAATGTGCTAATTTGTGCACAGCAACTATAAGCACCATATCAATTAGTGCTATGCCATATAAATAAATATGGTCATTAGTAATTCATAAAGTGCCAAAAAGTGCTCGTGCTTCAGGAAATAAAAGTGCTCTTCATTTGATCGTGCTCTTGTGCCCCACATGGACTAACACTCATCCTTTATTCATAACCACCTATCTCTAGTATTGTCATTTGTGCTTCTGGGGCGACCCCTATTGATGGTGTGGGCGTTCTTCTTTTAGAGGGAGCTTGCAATTCTATGCTCTATTAGCTGGCAGGTTTAGTCAGAAAAAAGGAGAGCTCCATCACGTAAAACCATAGATTATTATATATATAAAGTAAATATTCCACTCACATGTACTGGTGCCCTGATAACAGCACCTAGTGTATTAAGCTTTGCATTGGTAGTCTAGGTTGACTGTTGTCCGTATCCGATACTGGAACTTTGAGGTCGCCCCATAAGTGCATATGACCATACTAGAGATACATTGGGGCAAAAAAGTATTTAGTCAGCCACCAATTGTGCAAGTTCTCCCACTTAAAAAGATGAGAGAGGCCTGTAATTGGCATCATAGGTAGACCTCAACTATGAGAGACAAAATGAGAAAAAAAAATCCAGACAATCACATTGGCTGATTTGGAAAGAATTTATTTGCAAATTATGGTGGAAAATAAGTAAGTATTTGGTCAATATCAAAAGTTCATCTCAATACTTTGTTATATATCCTTTGTTGGCAATGACAGAGGTCAAACGTTTCCTGTAAGTCTTCACAAGGTTGGCACACACTGTTGCTGGTATGTTGGCCCATTCCTCCATGCAGATCTCCTCTAGAACAGTGATGTTTTGGGGCTGTCGCTGGGCAACACGGACTTTCAACTCCCTCCAAACGTTTTCTATGGGGTTGAGATCTGGAGACTGGCTAGGCCACTCCAGGACCTTGAAATGCTTCTTACGAAGCCACTCCTTCGTTGCCCGGGCGGTATGTTTGGGATCATTGTCATGTTGGAATACCCAGCCACGTTTCATCTTCAATGCCCTTGCTGATGGAAGGAGATTTGCACTCAAAATCTCACGATACATGGCCCCATTCATTCTGTCCTGTACATGGATCAGTCGTTCTGGTCCCTTTGCGGAGAAACAGCCCCAAAGCATGATGTTGCCACCCCCATGCTTCACAGTAGGTATGGTGTTCTTTGGATGCAACTCAGCATTCTCTCTCCTCCAAACACAACGAGTTGTGTTTCTACTAAACAGTTCTATTTTGGTTTCATCTGACCATATGACATTCTCCAATCCTCTTCTGGATCATCCAAATGCTCCCTAGAAAACTTCAGATGGGCCCAGACATGTACTGGCTTAAGCAGGGGTACACGTCTGGCACTGCAGGATCTGAGTCCCTGGCGGCATAGTGTGTTACTGATGGTAGCCTTTGTTACATTGGTCCCAGCTCTCTGCAGGTCATTCACTAAGTTCCCCCGTGTGGTCCTGGGATTTTTGCTCACTGTTCTTGTGATCATTTTGACCCCACGGGGTGAGATCTTGCGTGGAGCCCAAGATCGAGGGAGATTATAAGTGGTCTTGTATGTCTTCCATTTTCTAATTATTGCTCCCACAGTTGATTTGTTCACACCAAGCTGCTTGCCTATTGCAGATTCAGTCTTCCCAGCCTGGTGCAGGTCTACAATTTTGTTTCTGGTGTCCTTCGACAGCTCTTCACCATAGTCTTCACCATAGTAAAGTTTGGCGTGTGACTGTTTGAGGTTGTGGACAGGTGTCTTTTATACTGATAACAAGTTCAAACAGGTGCCATTGATACAGGTAATGAGTGCAGGACAGAGGAGCCTCTTAACTAGTTGCCGACCGCAGATAGCCGAATGACGGCTTCACTGCGGCCGGCCAGTTCTGGGTGGACGTCATATGACGTCCCCCCAGAACGCGCTCGGCGCGCACCCGGCGATCTCTGTGATCGTTGTGTCCTACGGACACAGCTGATCACGAGATGTGGTAAAAGGCCGATCATACCGGCCTTTTACCACGTGATCAGCGGTGATCAATGACACGCTGATCACAGGGAAATGCAAGTGCCGTTTCTCGGCTGCACTTTCCTCACGCTGTCAGATCATGAGGAAAGTACTGCCGAGAACCGGCAGTTGTCAGAGCGAGGATCGGCACCGATCATCAGGGCCACTGATGATCAGTGCCCTGATGATCGGTGCCCAGCAGTGCCACCCACAAGTTCCGCCCACCTGTGCCCAGCAGTGCGCCCACTAGCTCCGCCCACCTGTGCCCAGCAGTGCACCCACCTGTGCCCAGCAGTGCACCCACCTGTGCCACTCTGCAGTGTCACACACCTGTGCCCAGAAGTGCCACCTACCTGTGCCCAGCAGTGCCACCCACCTGTGCCCACCCACCTGTGCCCACCAGTGCCACCCACCTGTGCCCACCAGTGCCACCCACCTGTGCCCACCCACCAGTGCTGCCCACCAGTGCCACCCACCAGTGCAGCCCAGCAGTGCTACCAGTCAGTGCCACCAGTCAGTGCCCAGCGGTTGTGCCAGTCAGTGCCGCCAGTCAGTGCCCAGCAGTGATGCCAGTCAGTGCCATCTATCAGTACCCATCATCAGTGTCACCTATCAGTGCCGCCGCCTATCAGTGCCTATCCTGCATATTAGTGCCTATACTATCCGTGACACCTCATTAGTGCTGCCTATCAGTGCCCTTTAGTGCTGCCTATCAGTGCCCATCAGTGCCGCCTATCAGTGCCCATCAGTGCTGCCTCATCAACGCACATCAGTGAAGGAGAAAAAAAAATACCTGTTTGAAAAATTTTATAATAGAAACAAAGAAACTTTTTTTTTTTTTTTCAAATTTTTTGCACTTTTTTAATTTATAGCGCAAAAAGTAAAGCGCCCAGTGGCGATTAAAGACCACTAAAAGAAAGCTCTATTTGTGAGAAAAAAATGATCAAAATTTCATATGGGTACAATGTTGCATGACCGCGCAATTGTCAATCAAAGTGCGGCAGCGCTGAAAGCTGAAAATTGGCCTGGTAAGGAAGGGGGTATAAGTGCCTGGTAGGCAAGTGGTTAAAGAAGAAGGTACAGGTCTGTGAGATCCAGAAATCTTGCTTGTTTGTAGGTGACCAAATACTTATTTTCCACCATAATTTGCAAATAAATTCTTTCCAAATCAGTCAATGTGATTGTCTGGATTTTTTTTCTCATTTTGTCTCTCATAGTTGAGGTCTACCTATGATGCCAATTACAGGCCTCTCTCATCTTTTTAAGTGGGAGAACTTGCACAATTGGTGGCTGACTAAATACTTTTTTGCCCCACTGTAGGTGGTCATGAATAAAGGGTGAGTGTTAGTCCATGTGGGGCACAAGAGCACGATCAAGTGAAGAGCACTTTTATTTCCTGAAGCATGAACACTTTTTGGCACTTTAATATTTATGACATGTGGAACTTTTAGATTTGTTGTGCACACGTTAGCACATTTGATATATAAATTGGTTATTCAGGTGATATGTAAAATAAGCATTACATTTTTTGATCGAAATGTGGGGTGTTAATCAAAAGGACATTGTGCAGGATTGTGACCCGGAATAAGAATAACTGCTGCATCAGTGACTGCAGAGCTCAATCTCAGTCTTCACGGAACTTCACAATCTGTACGGGACTTCACAATCCTGCTCAATGTCCTTTTGTCTCTTTTGATCAGTTGACCATGCTGACAGCGCTTATGCTTATCCAGATGGTGTTTTCCTGGAAACTGTATATGCTGTCATAACCTTTGATACTGTACCTGTGACACGGCAAATAAACTGCCAACTTCAGTTACAGAGGCACCAGTCAAGCCGGCACCAACAATTTATCTAACCCCTGTATACCTGTAAATGTACACACATTAATTACTTTCCACCGGGTCATCGTATATTTACTGTGACCGGGTGGCAGCTGCAGGCTCAGCAACGTAAATAAACATTGCAAGCTTGCTTCTGCATTTGGGGCGCATGTCCCCTGTTGACCTACGCTGAAGTTGGACACAGCACAATTTTGTCAGCAGATATCAGCCAATGATTTATGGCTGAAACCTGCTGATCGGCTGTGTTTAACTACAGCACCTGTGTTTACAAACCAGAAACGCAGGGAGAAAAAAAACTGCCAGATCTCCTAGTAAAAGCATCACATATTGCACACATTACACAGTCAATTCTTTGATTGCCCATTAATGTTAACGCCTTCCCAGCCAGTGTCATTAGTACAATGACAGTATACAATATTATATCTGATCACTGGATATGTTTTATAACAGAAAGTAGAAAATATCAGGCTTTTTCAAAAATGTCGGTCTTTATATCACTAAAAAAAATAGAAAAAAAAAAAACCCAGTGGTGATCAAATACCACTAAAAGAAAGCTCTATTTGTGTGAAAAAAAATATACATATTCATTCGGGTACAGTGTTGCAAGACCAAGCAACTGCCAGTTAAAGTAGTACAGTGCTGAATAGCAAAAAAAAAAAATGCTCTGGTCATGAATTGGGTAAAACCTTCTGGAGGTCGAGTGGTTAAAAATCCCAAGAATCATATAAAATGTCCTGTATTTCAATCTGGCATGTATACTTAAAGTGTCAAGTTCTCTTAAAAAAAGTGATCATTGCTTTCAATTTAGTGCAAAAAAATCTTCACTTGCAGAAAATGATCATCCTCCAAAGTGCACTCATCCCTGTGAGTCCTTCACCATCCACTCTTAGACTGCATTCACACTTGAGCAATTTGTAGCTTGAATCCCAAAGCTCCAAAAACGCTCAAACTTAAAAAATCAATTATTCTCTAAGGTGCCTGTTCGTGTAAACAGGCACTATAGAGAACAACTGATTTTTTAAGTTTGAGTGTTTTTGGAACTTTGAACTTAAAGCTACAAATCGCTCAGGTTTGAATGCAGCCTAACAACACACCTAAAGTATTGACCATATACAGTTGTGTTCAAAAATAATAGCAGTCAGACATCACTAACCTGATCAATCACTGTCCTAAAGAGAAATGGTGCAACATTTTGTGGACTGATGAAAGTAAGATTGTTCTTTTTGGGTCTAGTGGCCGGAGACAGTTTGTCATATGACCCCCAAACACTGAATTCAAGCCACAGTACACTGTGAAGACAGTGAGGCATGGTGGTGCAAGCATCATGATATGGGGATGTTTCTCATACTACGGTGTTGGGCCTATTTATCGCATACCAGGGATCATGGATCAGTTTGAATACATCAGAATACTTGAAGAGGTCATGCTGCCTTATGCTGAAGAGGAAATGCCCTTGAAATGGGTGTTCCAACAAGACAACGACCCCAAACACACCAGTAAACGTGCAACATCTTGGTTCCAGACCAACAAGATTGACGTTATGAGAGTGGCCAGCCCAATCCCCGGATCTTAATCCAATAGAAAACTTGTGGGGTGACATCAAAAATGCAGTTTCTGAGGCAAAACCAAGAAATAGAGAAGAACTGTGGAATGTAGTCCAATCATCCTGGGCTGGAATACATGTTCACAGGTGCCAGAAGTTGGTTGACTCCATGCAACACAGATGTAGTATAGTAGTTCTCAGAAACAGTGCTTATACAACTAAATATTCCTAAGTGATTCAAAGGAAAGCAAAATCTTCAAACATTTTTCAGTTTATATAGTGAATGTTTGAGTTTGTAAAGAAGAATACAAACACTGCTATTTTTTTTGAACAGTCTAATATTCACTTTTCTTCAATTTTTTTAGAGGAACAACACAAATTTGATATATTTTTTTCATGTTTTGATTTGGAATAGAATGTGTAGTGTTCCAAATGCATTTGTGTGTATGGAAATAAAAGCTATTAGAAGGATTTTGAGCTTTATTCACTTTTTTTAACACACTGCTATTATTTTGAACACAACTGTAGGTCTTTATCTCGCTCAAAAAAAATACTCCACAGGAACAGCTCTGCTCCAAAGAATCTCACCCTCTCCTATCAAATTCCAGGCTTTTATTTAATCTCTGGAAACATTTGTGGAAAGCAAAGAAGAAAAGGCTCCATAGTGTAAATTAAAAAAGGTCCTTTTAAAAAAAAAAAAAAAAAAACATTAAGGACTTACACTTACGTTGAAAAAGTGTCTCTACCTACACTAAGAAATCAAAGCATGTATCGTTAAGCAGTGCCAGCTCTACCCTCACACTCTGGCTGTGAGCGAGCACCACTGTGCGGAATAACGTCATGTTCAATTGGCTCCTTACCATACTGGTGGCCAATTGTATTATATTTGTTAGGAAGATGAACATAATATACTGCACCTGCTAGGCTGAAATATACATGGTTTCTTACAAGTGTTTCTTAGTGACATGCTATGGCATACCTCCCAACTTCCTGAGATAGAAATGAGGGACACCTATAAGCAAAAGTATACATTTATAGGCAGGACCGGTGCTAAACTACTTTGAACCCTAGGCAAAACCAGCTACCTGCGTCACCCCCCCAAAAAAAGTAAAAATAGTAAAAATATTAAATCAACAAAACATGAAACTGCTACATTTCATTTAATTTACAAAAATAAGTGCCAAAGGATGCCACAAGCACCAATATTAAAGACAAAATAAATACTAACCAAATATAAATAAACTGTATTAACCAATCAGACAGAGAAACAAAAAAAAAAAGAGAGTTAGAAAATTCGACAGTGATCAGCAGCCACCACCTGGCTTGCAGTAAGGGACTGAGTCTGAGAGGAACACTGAAAGGAGCGACAGCTCAGCTGCGACACTGGCCCCAGACATTGCGGCATCTTCCTCTGTCCTTTCTTCCTCCCCCTCTGCCACCCCTCCTCTCATCTGAAGGATCATTCATGATGTGGCAGCATCCCACACCATCAAACAACATCCACTCCCCCCTCACCCTGACCATTGTCTGCCCCCTTCCTCCTCCTGTCACCTCCATGACCCACCATCTTCCTAGGCTCAGCTCACATCTGATGGCTCCTGCCAGGGTGTGCAGCACCGGACACACCCCATTTGGTCACTAGCCAGCTCCCAGTTACAGCTGGAGGATCATGTGTTTAATACAGATGTATGGACCGATCCTCCGATCAGAGACTGCTGAACACTCGGGGTCCTGGACTAATGTCATCACTTCTTATCCTAGGGGGAGCCAACACTTCACTACTACACACACTTAATGGCCATGTGTGTGGACAGGCTGCGAGGCAATTGTGCCGAGTAAAGATACCATAATTCCCTGTGTGTGAGGAGAGGGGGGCTCTGCAGAGAGAAATTAAGAATTCATACAAGAGGTCCATAGGCCACACAGAGTGCTGGCCTCAGCTGCGCCCAGGCACCCGTAGGTGGCAGCGCGCTCTAGGTGGCTACCTAGTTTGCCTAGTGGAAGCACCGGCCTGTTCATAGGACACACCCCCTGCCATGCCCCCTTACAAGGAGAATTA